CGCGCCACCGCTTGAGCCACATCCCCAGCCCCCAACGACTTCTAAAAAATAAATATTTAAAAAAAAGAATACTGGTGACAAAATATTCTAGGTTTTTTTTTTTGTTTGTTTTTGTTTTGCTGAGCTGGGGATGGAAATTCAGGGTCACACAAGTGCTTGACCACTGACCTATGCCCTGAGTCCTCCCAGTGTTATGCACCACTTAACATTTTGGTCAATAAAAGTTCATGTATGTGACAATATTCCCATAAGATTACAAAGGAACTGAAAAATTCAAATTGCATAGTGATGTGGTAGCTGTCATAACATTGTCACATCCTGCCCAGGTTTGTGGTGCTTCTGGTGGAAACATACCTACTGTTCGGCCAGTACATAATACTTGATGATGATGATAAACAACTACGTTACTAGTTTATATACTTGCTATACTATTCTTTTAATCATTAAAGTATATCCCTACCTGAAAAAAAAAATTTTAACTGTAAAACAGCCTTAGGCAGGTCCTTCAGGGGGATGCCAGAAGAAGGAACCGCTGTTATTGACAATGGCTCTGTGTTATTGCCCTTGCGACCTTCCAGTGGGACCAGATGCAAAGGTGGAAGACAGTGATATTTTGATCCTGATCCTTCATAGGCCTAGGCCTTTTTTTGTGTCCTAGTTTTTAATAAAACAGTTTAAAAAGTTTTTTAAAAGATAAGATAAAAATAAGTCAAAATGGGTTATTGTTTTGGTTACCTTTTGGGTTGTTGTGACAAAATACCCAACAAGAACAATTTACAGGGGCTGGTGTTGTGGCTTGGTGGTAGACCACTTGCCTAGCACGTGGCTTCTTGGAAAATGAAAAGGACAAGGACAAGGAAAAGGAAGAAAGGAAGAAAGAAAATTTTAAAAAATTTACAGGAAGAAAATTTGTCTGGAGCTCACAGTTAGATAGCCAGCTCCACGACTCTGGGCCTAAGGTGAGGCAGGACATTATGCGGAAGGGGCAAGTGAAGGAAAGCTGCTCAGCTCAGGGTCAGGAAGCACCTGATAGAGAAGATGAAGTCACCTACTTCCTCTAGCCACAACCAACTTGCCCACAGTTACCACCCAGTCAGTCCAATCAAACTAGGATGGACTGATGAATTATAGCTCTCACAATCTGATCCTTTCACCTCTGAATGTTCCTGCATTAACGGGAGATTTGGGAGAACACCTCATATCCAAACCATAATGGCTATATTTTAATCTTAAAATTAAAAAAATGTTTAAGGAATAAACATTTAAATGTATTTAAAAATACAACCACCAGGCAGGTAGTGCACACCTGTAATCTCAGAGGCTTAGGAGGCTAAGGCAGGAGGATTTAGAGTTCAAAGCCTGCCTCAGAAAAAAAAAAAAATAACAAGGCACTAAGCAAAACTATGTGAGACCCTGTCTCTAAAAAAAACACAAAATAGGGCTGGGGATGTTGATCAGTGGTTGGTGCCCCCAAGTTCAATCCCCAGTACCAAAAAAAAAAAAAAAACAAAACAAAAAACACACACACACTGCCCAGGTAGGGTAGTAGGTTATACTATCTAAGTTTGTGTAGTACATGCTATGATGTTCATAAAATAATGAAATCACCTAACAATCCATTTCTCAAAAAGTGTCTCCATTGTTAAGTGACAAGTTGGACTTAAACTCTAAATTTTGTACACCCCTTGCTCTTGTAGTCTGTAGCAACTGAAATCTCTGTTCAGTTCCTTCAAATGCCAGTTGTTAACTTTTTCCTAGGGCAACTAGGTTGTCCCTAGTGCTTGCAAAGTTCAGTAGTCATCTAAGGATTTGGGAAGATTATATACGCTGTGTATACAATTGTATACCCATTCTGTGTGTTAAGAATTTGCCCCCTAACTTCTAGCTGTTCTGTCACTCTCAAAGAATCTCCTCTATTTCTTCAACCCAGCAAGGCTGAAGAGTGAGGACTGCCCTCAAGAAGGCGGCTGGAAAGGTCCCAACCTTACCCGCTACAGTTTGATTTCCAAGGAGACTTCTGCTTTCCTGCCTACTTTTAATTTTGTCTGTGGGAACATAGTCTCATCACATTCCTTTGTTGCTCTTCTTCCATTACCAAGAGAATTAATCATTTTCAAAATTAGAAAATAGACATAGAAATAAAGTGAGATATATTCATTTAGTTAAAAACAAGATGACTGAGCTCTTAACATTAACCAAACATTGCTATAGGCACTGAAGATTCAATGGTGAACAGGACACTTATACTGTTGGGTTCAGATGGACACACAAGAAAACAGCAGACAGTGACAAGTATAATAAAGACAAAACATGGTGATGATGAATGACTCAAGGGGAAGGGCATACTTTAAACTGGCTGTGAGGAAAAGAAAACCCTTTGAGGAAATAACAGGAAGAGCAACCATGAAACTTCTTGGAATAAGCTATTCCTGTGATTGAAATGAGCCAAAGCCCTGAGGAGGAGAGGTATAGGAGGCAAATAAGACGACAATGAAGAGGAAAAAAAAGAAAACAAAACAGAGAAGCCATTTGGCTGATGTAAAAGACATTGGTTATAAATGGGTTGCAAATTTAGCATCCAGCTTCCTGATGGCCAAAGTAGTAAAAAGAGACCCATTCAAGACTACAGACTAAAACCCAATCCTGATGGTAGTACAATGTATGGTTTTTGTGAAATCTGAGTGCAGTGGTGCACGTCTATAACCCAGTTACTTGGGAGGCTGGTCTGGGCAACTTTGTGAGACTGCCTAACAAAAAAGTAGAGTTAGGGGTGCTGGCGGTGGAGATTAGTGGTTTAGTGCTTGCCTAGAATGCACAAGGGCCTGCATTCAATCCAGTACTGCAAATAAATAAATAAAACAAAACACTTTGCGTACATTGTTTATAATAGTGGAAATGTAGAAGATTAAATGTCCAACAATAAAGGAATGGTTAAACAGGCCACAATGCATATTTAGCTAATAAATTAATAAATCCATTAGAATTGAGAACTTAATGTATATTTATGCTAAATGTTAAGTGAAAAAGCATAATATACAACATATTATGATTATTTTAGGTAACACTAAAAACCTTTCAAAAACCCGGACTTTCTACATCCAATAAAATAAACTGGAAGAAATACAACAACTTCTAAGATGAGTGTGTCTCAGTGGTTGAATTATATGATTTTTTTAATATTTAATTTTTTTAGTTGCAGTTGTCAATGCCTTTATTTATTTTTATGAGGTGCTGAGGATCGAATCCAGGGCCTCGCACATGCTAGGCGAGTGCTCTATTGCTGAGCCACAACCCCAGCCCTGAATTATATGATTTTTTTGGTTCTCTTTGCTGTATTTTTCAACTAAAAGATATTTTTAAATAGTCATTTATATGTAAGCAACTGATAAATTATTTAGGTTAAACAGACAACAATGGTGTGAGGAACACACATAGGTACGTGTAGGTTCAGAGGAGAAAAGGTAAAGGCCAGAGATAATTATAACTGCACACACCATACCTGCCTATGTGAATGTAAATGCTTTCTGCAGGCCCTCCAATCACCTTTCACAATGTATGGGAGAATTCTCTTAAAAAAATGACTCCTGACTATGGCAGTTCCCCAGCATCTAAGAGATAGCAGCTTTTTGACCTCTGAACACAGCTCTCCAGGTGAAGTCTGTGCCTATTTCTGACATCATTTGTCATGTACCTTCCAGCTCATTCTATATTCAGAGCCAACAGAACTAATTTCTTAAATTTGAAATGTTCACACTACTCTCCCTGGAATGTTTTTCCTCTCGTCTGGTTCCTAATCTTCTTTCAAAGTTCCACTCAGATGCCACCTTTACAATGAAGCTTCCTGATTACCTTGGAGAGACGGGGCTACTTCCTTTTGCTCCTTTGTCATGCTGTAAGAATCTCTATTACAGCAAATACAGCAGGGTACACATACAAATATGTCTGTCCACATATTTCCATTCCATACAACATACCTGATTTTTTGGGAGCAGAGTGGCCTGGTTTCATGTTTTGTTTTTGTATCCTGAGAACTCAGAAACAGTCTTGGAAAAAAATAAACACTTAAAATGTTTTCTAATTACTGGAAAACAAGAGTACATACCTCTACGGGTCTCACCCAAGCCAAAGAGCAAGGGATAGCCTGAGCGGGAAGCTTTGTGTAGCAGCACCTGCAGTAACAATCAATATATGAACATTTAATCATATGTTTAAAGTGCATTTTTATAAAATCTCTGCTTCTTGATTTGTTCTGCACAACATTTCAGAGTATTTTACTCATCAATTTATTAATAAATGCCTCGTACTTTAAAGAAACCTAAGAAAAAGTATAAAATACATCTTTGAGAGAACCATACAGTAGAAATTCAGGTTCAAGCTTCCTGAATACATGAACGCACCTCTTAGTATGACCCAAAGAGTAGTTTTCTTTTAGTTTTGGTTTTTAGTTTTTTGGAAACTGATGGTTGAACCCAGGGGCACTCTACATTCCCAGTCCTTCCTATTTTTTTGAGACAGAGTCTTGCTAAGGCTGGTCTTCAACTTGCCATTCTCAAGGAGTCACTTTCTTAATAAGAGGCTAAAATTTAGTCAAATGGTCCATTCAAATTCATAGTCAAGTCAAAGAAGACATGAGATTATAATCCACCTGTGAAATTAAATGACACTAAGAAGAGGCATGGAAAGGGTGGAAGGATGGAGCGATAAAGCTAAAAGAAAAATAAGAGAGATCACAGCCTCACCAAGTTTCAGCACTGATTCAAAATTTAATTTGTCCATTGTTCTTATTAAATTCAACTCACTTGAGGAACCTCAGAGAGGACTTCTGAACAGTTCCAATATTTCCAAAGTCTGGGTAGAATACTTCAACTTCCTTTTTCCCAAGCACTCGATGGATAATAACCCGATACCACCACTTATCCTCAGAAATCCTTACACAACACAGGTGTCCCGGCTGGACAAAACATTCTGGCATGATATATCGATCAGAAACCAGCTGGTTAGAATAACAACGCCTGTGGAATTCCATATACAGAGAAATCATAGGGGAAGAAAAATAAAAGATTGTTTTTATTGATAGGTCAAGAATAGAAAAGCGTGGGCAAAAGGCAAAGAAAAAATCCTGATTTTTTTCCCTGATTTGTTAATGCTTACCAAAGCCAAAGAATTTTATTCTTTTTTCTTGTCCAAAGTCATTCTCTTTATTAACAAACTTATTCAAAGATAAAGTATGAAAATTATACATTCATTTTCTTATCTCACATTCTCAGAACACAATACAATGCGATCTCATTTCCCATCTCTTCCTAAAATGGACATTTTTTAAGGCAGTAGGTCTCAAAGTATATACCCAAATGCTTTTCCAGGAGGTCTACAAGATCAAAACTATTTTCATAATATTACTGAACCCTTATCTGCCCTTTACTATGTTGAAATTTGCATTGACCATGTAAAAGTAACAATGGGTACATAAGCCAGGCACCTTAGCTAAATCGAGGCATTGGCAAACTTATAGCCACTTAATTGTCACTGCCATATGTTCACATTAATAAAAAAAAAGCCAGTGTCATTTAATATCATCTCTGATAAAAATTAAGCTTATTAAACAGCAGTCACTAAGTGACATCTTTTCAATACTACGGACAAAAATGAAACTAAGTATACATAAGGCATTTCCTCAGTTATGTCAAGGAAAAGCTTGTGTGTTCTGAATTGTGACCTAATCTTTTATTGGGAGGATAGTATGATTTTTTTCACTTGAAAGATGAATTAGTCACCGTTTTTCACAGAAAGAACCACCTTTTTTGCTCAAAAAAAAATTAACGAATTATGATAATTCACGTTTGGGCATTTGGTAAACATCTTACCCAAAGTTAAGTGAGCCTGTCACCGCAAGGAAAACAACAGTATATATTGTCAATGATAAAATTCAATTTTTCAAGTAAAAGTTGAGAGTTTGGAAATACTGCATCCACCACCACAAGCTTGACCGCTCGCCAATATTTCATGTTTTTCTAATGACTTCAGTAGTGATATTAACAAATGTGATTGGAGTGGGTAGGATACTGGGGAATGAACTCGGGGGCACTCAACCACTTTTATATTTTTATTTAGAGACAGGGTCTCACTTAGTACCTTACAATTACTGAGGCTGGCTTTGAACTCATGATCCTCCTATCTCAGCCTCCTGAGCTACTCAGATTATAGGCATGCGCCACCATGCCCAGCCACAAATGTGATTTTTAAATGTTATGTGATGAAATGTGCCAACACATAAAAATATGTATAATTCAGTGACCTAGCATTTATACATGGGCAAAAGATTAATTCAGGGATGCTTTCTCATGAATTCATGCTTAAGAGGCCTTGTGTTTCCTTAAATGCTCTGCCAATGCTGTCTTGAAATTCTTAATTTTTAAGTAAGATGCCCTGTGTTTTAATTTTGCACTGGGACCTGTAATTACATAACTAGTCCTGGATTGACTCAAAGCACACATGTAGACCAATTTTAACATAAAAGCATATGAAAAATTCAAATTTCACAGTGTAATCTTCAAGAAACTATCATTTGTCAACTTTGGGCATATTTTAAAAAATAATATTCACAATTTTCTGAAAAGGCTATTAAAATACTCCTTTCCCAAACTATATATTTGGGAAGCCAGATGTTTCCTTACACTTTAACCAAAACTACATATAGTAGTTTTACCATTTTCAGTGGTTTTTGCTCAGTTACCCATGGAAAACTGTAGTACAAAATTATTAAATGGAAAATTCCAGAAATAAGCAAATCACAAGTTTAAAAATGCATGCTTTTCTGAGTAGTATGATGAAATCTTGTACCATCCTACTCCATCCGGCCAGGGTGTGAATCATGGCTTTGTGTAGCATATGCCCACCGTATACACTACCTGCCCATTAGTTACTTAATAGCTACATCAGTTGTTCAATCAACTTTTGTTACAGAATATTGTTATACTTGTTTTATTATTTTTATTGTTGTTAATCTCTTACTATTCCTAATTTATAAATTAAACTTTATTATAGTTATGTGTATATAAGAAAAAAAACAGTATATACACAGGGTTTGGTATTATCCTGTTTCAGGTATCCACTGAGTATCTTGGAACATTTTGCCTGTATAAGGTTATCTGGGGCTATTGTATCTCAATAGATTACATGTAGAAGCAGATATGAAAATCCAGCTTTTTTTCCCTATTAAGCCAAATATTAAAGTGATCTGTAAAAATGTAAAACAATGGTACTCTTCCAATGTTTTCTAAAAAGTTATTTTTATAAAAATGTTATATTATCACCCATGAATTTTTAAAAGAAGCATTTTTTTTAACTCTGCAATTTAATTTCTATATAGGAAATATCAATAAACAAAAGCTCTCTTTGGGTCTTTCCTGAGACCAAAAATGATAACTCCTAATTAGAGTGACACATGAAAAAACACATTGAAAACAAGGACTCCTACCGCATTTCAATCATCATGTCTTCAAGTAACTCTGATGAATCCCTGCTATAGATTCGGATGTAGAATTGACTTGGAGAGATAATATACTCCACAAAGACCCCCACAAGGGTACTGGTATCTAATGGTGGAAGTCTGCATAATTTCTTCTCCTGTACAGCATCTGGTGGGATATCATGATTTGCCATTGCCAAGCTGAGCTGTGATCTACTTATTCCTACTTGCTACAAGTTAAAAGAAAGAAATCAAAGAAACCATAATAAATCTTTGGGTGACATTTCAAACCCTGACATTTCTCAAAGTATACTTCATTAGTTGCCTTTTTCAGAATCACTTGGGAAATTATAAAAATTCATATTCATGGGTTCAGGCCAGATTTACTGATTCAGAATATGTGAGAATGAAACCATGCATATTAAAAAATTCCACAGGTGATTCTTATGTTAAAATATGAATATATTACCTTCTGATATTAGGCAAAGAGTTAAGACATATTATGCAAATGCCTTATTAAAATTTGACAACATATTTCAGATATTCAGGCTGAACTAAAGTGAATTCTCATTCTACTCAACCCTACCAACAGGGAAAGGTAACGAAGTCTAGATTAAATTTTAGACTAGTCTTCCAATCAAAAATAGGATTGTGCAAACATTTCTAAAATAAATCATTTTGTCTTCTAAAATATATATTCCTGTAGGCCTTTTTATTGTCCTCCAGAACAATATAGCAGGCTCTCAAATTTTTGTCATCTCATGAAAGGAGCCAGATACTGAGGGTACAATGAAGAGTAACATAAGACTAATTCCTTAGTAATAACATAAGGAATAGGAGAAGACAACACAAAAAGAATTGTGTGTAAAGATGTAATGACAGGAGGCTAGGGATGTGGCTCAAGCGGTAGCACGCTCGCCTGGCATCGTGCGGCCTGGGTTTGATCCTCAGCACCACAACAAACTAAGATGTTGCTTTTATTTTTTTAAAAAAATAAATATTGAAATTCTCTCTCTTTCTCAAAAAAAAATAAAGATGTAATGACAGAGGGTGAGAAAAAAGGACCCAATAACTGAGGTTGAGTGCAAAGGAGATCTGCAGCAGCTGTTGAGGCACTCAGTCAACAGCTCCTCTGTGGTCCCCTCGGAAGCCCCTGAGGATTTTCCAGCCCACATTTTAATCACAGGGAGACAGAGACAGTACCATCATCATATAAGGACTATCCAATCTCAAAACCATCTGAAAACTGAGGGAAAACTGGTTACATAAATTACTGAAAAGATACTATATAAGGTGACTTTGGATGAAAGAACTAATCTTTTCAATAAATGAGGTATATAGAGACAAGATTTTTCTAAAAGTAATTCTGGTTTCATTTGGTTACTTTTCATAATGCTGAATCTGCATTGTGCAGGGTCTTTAAACCTCACTCACCAGCTGTAAAGGCTTTACAACCAGATTAGGCTTCTTATATATCTTCTGTTCTGGTTCTTTATGGATCTTCAAAGGGCAATCCCATGCAGTCTCCTTGACAGCAGCAGTAGACAGTGAATTTCTAGGGGGACTGGAGACACAAGCCTTGGCTTCCATTTTCTTATCTGGTTGAACTAAACATAAATTTCTGACTGTTGAAACAGCTCCATCTGAAATGGCCAACAGAACAGCCTGTGCATATTTGCTACAATAATAGTACAATTGTTAATAAGCATCTCCTATTTGCCAGGTACTAAGGAGATAGTGATAAATGAGAAATACTAACCTGTCCTTGTATATCTTGCCACATGGAAAGGTCTAAGAGAAGTTCTAGATGAGAATGAATCCCCATTTTTTTTTTTTTAGTGTGTGTGTGTATGTGTGTTGGAGCAAGGGGAGTATGTAGTATGGCAATGCTTCTTAAAGTTTGGTGAATGGCTTTATTTTTCAATATCCTGATTTCAATTTATTTCTTGTTCTAATTAAGCTGAAACATTCATTCATCGTTGTTTATAATGTACATGGCTGCTTAATATTCCATATGATTCCTTAATTCTTAGGCATCCTCAAGTCGATCACGTTTTGTTTAATTTACATATATATGATGACTACAAGTAATTGGCACATTAAAACAGACTCCAGAAAGATAGACCTACAACCACAGTGGTTCCGAAAGAAATAAACAGAAAGTACAGAAAGATGTGGGGACAAAAATATGTATCATGGGACTGAGCAGGAAGCTCAGTGGTAGAGCACTTGCCAGCATGTATGAGGTCCTGGGTTCAATCTCTAGCTCCATAAGAAATAAAAAAATAAAAGTTTACTACTATAGTTCTTATAATGGTAAAAATGGGAACAATCTAAATGTCCATCAATAGGAGACTGGAACTTACCTCAACATTGTAAAAGCTATATATATGCTAAGCCTCAGGCTAGCATCATCTTAAATGGAGAAAAACTGAAGGCATTCCCTCTAAAATCTGGAACAAGACAGGGATGCCCTCTATCACCACTTCTATTCAATTTAGTTCTTGAAATACTAGCCAGAGCAATTACACAGACAAAAGAAATTAAAGGCATAAAAATAGGAAAAGAAGAACTTAAATTATCACTATTTGCTGACGACATGATTCTATACCTAGAAGATCCAAAAGGGTCTACAAAGAAACTACTAGAACTAATAAATGAATTCAGCAAAGTGGCAGGATACAAAATCAACATGCATAAATCAAAGGCATTCCTGTATATCAGCAACAAAAATTCTGAAATGGAAATGAGGAAAACCACCCCATTCACAATATCCTCAAAAAAAATAAAATACTTGGGAATCAACCTAACAAAAGAGGTGAAAGATTTATACAATGAAAACTACAGAACCCTAAAGAGAGA